ATCAGAGGATCTTCATGAGGCTCAGGATTCACTCTTCAATCCCTGATCTTCCTCGCCTGGTCGGAACTCGTCGCGGCCAGAGAAGTCATCTCGCTCGATCTGTCTCACGTCCATTCAGACGACTTCAGGAACCATCAGAACGCTACTCTCATTCAAAAACACATCCTTTCTAGTCGTAAATCTTATCTCCCCAAAATCACCATCGACCGCACACTCATACCTCTCTTCCTCCCTGCCGTAAGCTTTGCTGTGCTTTCTCTCTCTCTTTCTTTTCTTGTCCTATTCTCAATCTATTCATTTGACTTTTGCTCACGTTTTTTTGTTTGTTTGTATCAGACTCCGGCTAGAACTCAATTAACCAAGATCTCAAACATCATTCTTAATACTCATAAAGCAAGACGACAAGAAGAACAAGGGAATCTGAAGAGTCATTTGATTGATAATGTGGCACGGAAAGCCGATTGGACGGTTCCTTTTAAGCTATGGTTCAACTTCACATTCAATAAGCTTTAGTCTCTCTTCTGTTCCCTCTTTTTTTTTCTAGAAAAAAAAATAGAATGGTTTAGTTGAAAAGTCACTCGGGGAATTTGTGATAGTCGTTGTTTATGGGTATCAGTAGAAATGAGATCTTACTAGATTTAGCCTTCCTAGAAGGTCGGACTCCAAGACCGAATATACCAAAAAAAAAAAAATTAAATCAACAATGATACCTTATTGTGATCCCAGAATTGATGTGTTCCTGGCTCCGATACCCTCTTGTTGGGGCCTGAAATGCACTGACCATCGTTTCTGTGAGAAAGCCCTTTGGAAACCTTGTGCTTTGATTTGTTCCAAGTCCATTGGGCACATCCCACCCACTGTGCTCAGCATGATGCTGAGCACAGTGGGTGGGATGTGCATCACATTCCATCCCCTTTGCATTCTTGTTGAGTCCTGTCACGCTCTGTTCTCTCTTTCTTTCCCCTCCATTCATTCAGTGCTTCCTTCCTTCCTTCCTTCCTTCCTTCCTTCATTTACCTAGCATTACTCATCTCTCTGAATTCTTCAAGATATCATCATATACATTTAGGGGCTTGGTTAAACAACTCCCAAAAAGTTGAGAGCCAACTCCCAAGCCCTGGATTGCCCAAAAAATGGGAGTCAAACCCCCAAAACCTTTGACTGGTTTGGGAGTCGACTCCCTAAAAAAAATAAAAATCCCCGGTCGGTATGGGAGTTGGCCTCCCAAACTGACCAGGGTCTCTCCACGGGCGGGAAGCAGCTCATGGCCATTGAGGTGTGCACTCAGCATCCGAGTTTCTCTGAGTGCACACCTCACCAGCTGAGGGTACCCTGGCCGTTGAGAGTGTACCTCAGCGGCCGGGAGGAATCCTCCCAGCTGCCGCCATGGGTCTATTGGGTCATCAACCCCCAAACCCTGGTTGGTTTGGGAGGCCATATATGAGAATAGAAATATTTCTTGTGCTTTCATTCAAAGAGTGACAACTGTTTGTCACCATGAAGATGAGTGCACGATTTGAAATGATCTGGTTAGAATGTATTTGGCTCTAGCTAGAGTGGATTAGAAAGGTTATACTCAAACGTTTTGTTCTCCAAGACAAATGAGTGTATTCGGACAAAATAGTGGGGTTCACAATAGTGTTTTTTTTGCTTCTCGAACCCGTTATTTTTTTTTCTTGCTCACGCATTGCTGACGTCCAAGCTAAATTTTAAGCCTGCAGCAGTGCTGCGGTTTCTGGGGAGAGAAGAAATTGCTTCTTTCGAGAAGCTATCATGAACCCCCTAATATATGTGTTGTAAAGCTTGAATTCTAATTTTTGCATTCATGCATTTATTTCTTTTCAGCAGCCTGGTACCCATTTTTTTCTCTCATCTAAATCTATTATTCTTCTGCGACTTATAGGAGCTTTCAGACTTTTTACCCCAGGAAAGAAAAAACCGCGCAATCCTTTGCTTGAAACTGTTTGCTTGAGCCGGGGATCTGTTAGCTATCTCATAGGCAATCGTGTCCTGCAAGGAGGATTCCATGATTTTCAGCATCTGTGGGATTTGTTTTGAATGGTCTTGTTCAAACTTCTCTATCTCAGCCTCCCAGGTTGTCTTAATTGATGAGAGTTTATCCAGTTCTTGACGCCGAGAGTAAATGTCGTGCGCTATCTTATTGAGGTTCTCCCGTGCTTGATCTGTTAATCTTGCGTATGGGGTTCTATCCAATCGCGAATCCTGAATTTCTAGCGGCTTGAGGTATATCGCAGACAATCTTTCGTCAAAGTCACGTAGTTGATTGGTTATGCCTGCTTTGTTGATCGGGTCTGTGTCAGAGGGGAAAAAAGGCCATATTGGTTGACAGGGAAGATAAAGATAAGAGTTAATGAGTTGAGGCCAGGTGGGGATTCAAATCTCACTAATTACCTGTGGGGTGCCCAGATTGTGGTATTTTGATTTGACTCAAAAATTTATCCATCTTTGATTTGTATCCCACGCTGGGAGATTTTGGCGAGAAACGGGCTTCAATGTAGGCCTTGGTGAACAATTCCTTGTTTTCCAAACGGTTGGCAAGCTGCTTGATCTTATCTGGCTGATAGACTTCTAGTGCTTTGTCAAAGTTGTACGAAGGGGGGTCTGCAAATAGGCCGGGTGTGACATAGATAGACTTGGCCTCTGCGTCAAGTTGTTTCATTTGTAACTGGGCAAGTCGTTCAGTGGTGCGCGCGACGATTTCTCCCGATTTGTCTTCCGACGCGTCTAGTTTGTCAGAAAGGTTATATTGAAGCTTCTTCATTATACGCCTGACAAAATCTTCCTGCTTTCCCAGCGCTTTTAGAAAATTTGCACGAGATAGCCCTCCAGATGGATTCAGTTCTTGTCGAATGGCGTCATCAATAATGCCTTGCTTGTATAGGTTTTCGACGAATGGGCGTTCAACAACCGCATCGGGGTGAACGGCTTGGTCTCTGAAATGTCTCAATCGTGTTACGTCTTTGTTTTCTTTGATGAACCGATCTTCGATTTCATCTAATCGTTTCGCGAACCGCCCACGATCAGATGAAGCCTCCCAAAGCTCCTGCTCGTCTTCCGCGGGCAAAGAGTCAATGAAATCGGCATGATTACCAAGGGCAGTGCGGATGTGTATTTCGTCTTCGGGCAGACCCTTGAGCTGTGCGAAAACCATCGACGGAGTTGCCAACGTGCCATAGAACTGCTGGAAAAAGTTTTCACGCCACTCGACGTCTTCTTTGCGGAGGCTTTTGAAGATTGACTCCAATGAAGGTTTCAACTCTAACGGTTTGATGAACGCGACAGATAATGGCTTTTCGAGTTCATCCTGAAGCAGTTTGTGCGCTGCAGTGATTACGTGTTCCAGGATGTTTTGAAATCCTTTCACTGTTGAGTACTTGTGTAAAATGTTCATCCCCCAAACATCATAGGGCGTGTCTCGCAAGGCCTTTTCCACAGCGTAAATTGAATCACCACTTTCTTCAAGCGCAGCTGGTGTCTCGAGCTGGGGTATGAAAAAAGCAGCGCCTTTCTGTGACTGTAGCTGGGCGGTTCGGGCTTTTGCAAATTCCTCCAAGTTAATGTGCGGCTGTTTAGCGTGCGACTTGGGAAGTTCTTTGGAGAAGATAGTTGGGAAATAAGTTTGAGGAGCTCGATCCAGTAGATTTTGATTCAGCTGGCGCTGCCATCGCTCAAGCTGAGGTCTGATGCTTTCAATGGCATTCTGGCGAAGATGCCTACGCATGAAGTTGAACTTGTCGGGATCTTCGTTTTCTATTTCATCGGCCACCGAAGCCATGATATGCTTTTCAGCTGAAGTTAACCCCTTGGAAAGCTTAATAGATTTCCACTTGCTCTGAAGCGCTTCAAGCTCCCCGGTAACAAGATAGTAAAGTTGTAGTTTCGCTAAGTAATCTTCATACTCTGATGGCTTGGATACCGCCTGTTCTGTGGGCTTGTAGCGGTTCACGGGTGGAGACAACTTTTTGTCGAACCGTTTAGCCAAGTTCGTCACATCTAATAACTCTTTGTCATTCAACCTCAAATATCTTATTGCAAGGGCTCTAGACATCTGATCTTTCATTTGGCCTGACGAAAATAAAAGTGATCAATATACTTGGTTGAAAGAAAATTGTGGGTGGGCCATACTGCGGGAGGCTAGGGGACTTACGATATCTTTGTAAGTCTTTCGGGGTTGCAGGGCGAAGGAATTTCATTCTCTTCAGTAATTAGAAATGTAATCAGTAAGGGTCAAAACTGTTTACAATGTGGATGGGATCGCTTACAATTTTGTAGATTTGGTAATTAACCCAAGTCAAGCTAATGCGATTCGGCATGTCAATCTATCAGCCAGAAAATCAATCCTGCGGAAACATCATCAAACAGTAGCTCACGTCTCAAAGAAGTTTTCTTTTATCTTTGCGGGATACTTCGCCAGCTTTAATTTGATCTTGGAGAACTTTTGGAGTTGAATAGTATGAGTTTTTTACTCGAGTGGTTTCCAGGATCTTGACATTCAAAGTTAAAGTACACGTACGCCTTTCGTTTTTGGGTTTGCTGCTTCTTCGCCTGACATGGCGGCTTGTGGGGGAGCTCTAAATGAAGCGGGACGTGTTGTGGGAGGTGCATCGCGAACCCGAGGTGGCAAATAGCCAGTGTAAGAAATTATGTTGACGGGCGAATCGTTTACTCCAGACGTTGGTTCTCGGGCTTTTGATAATGACTCCGCCCCTACCGCTTTAGCATCCGAGCCGAATTCGCTTACACGGGCGGGATTGCTACTAACCACGATGCCGCGAGGTTCAAGATTTGCTGCAGAGGCTGACTCGTTAGCCGTAAGAAAATAAACCAATTGTAAAACTGTCAGTGATGACTTGAAAACTCGCATCTTGGAGTACTTGCAACGAAAGGGGGAACGGAATTGTGCAGCGTACACGCTTCCTGGCCAGTGCTGGACGGAGGAACCTTAAGGCTACATATAAACGAGCTCATCTGCCACCCACCACCGCGAGTCTGCACAATCGCCGTCCTCGCCCCAAGCGCATGAGAAACAGGGAGATTTCATGTATTCGCATCGGTTTTCCTACCCATGTGTATTGCGAAGATGTGGCCATATGTCCCAAGAATCCGGAAGCGGATGAGACAGTGTTAGAAACTGTATCGATGACAGACCCAAGTGAGTGTGTGTACATTCAATTAACGTGGTTCTCGCCACTCTCCCTCTGTCAGAGAAGGTCGCGGATGTGAAGGCGAAGCCAAACCGGGCACAGGCCCCAGTTTCAGTAGGCTCCGAGATTGCCGCCGAAGGAGGCCAAGTTTTGATGGTTGAAGATAGATGAAAAGCTTGCTAAACCTATTGCAGAAATTTAGTGAACAATATTTGGTTACAATTCAGATGCAAAGCTTACAGTGCTACCTTCTACAACTATGTTTTGAAACCATGCCAAAATCTTGAAGCTGTGGATTGGAGCAAGATTAGTGGCCTGTGTGGAGAAATCTACTTCGGGCTTGTCATAAGCCCCTATTCATGATGAAAATATTCCTTTTGGCCACTAGCAAGAAGATTGGTACAAAAAGAGACATCCAAATGGAGTAACAAGCTGTTTCAAAAGATTATTTCTACTTTGGGTCAAAATTCTGCAAAAAAAATTCTCTGTTGAACAAAATGTTAGATCAATGTATATTGAGTCAATTCAATATTGAAGATGACTTCATATTTAGCATGGAAAACTTGACAGATGAAGATGCAAAAATGTAATTTTCATTATTTGAAATCAAGTAAATTTGAGTTCAACCATTTCGAAGCAGTTTTTGGGACTTCATCAGGGTGCAATTTTGTAATTGAATTCCAAAACTCATCCAAAACTTACCACGTTTGCTTTACTCAGAAATCAAATATTATTATTTTTGATTCTTTTTGTCTTCACTAAAACAGGAATCGCAAAAAAGGGTTCATAAATTAACAAAGGATATGAGAGTAGAAATATTTCCCATGCTTTCATTAAAAATGGTTCAATAAGCGCAATTAAATCCAAAAACGAATGTAGTGATAATGAGTGACAATAGGTTAACACCATGAGGATGAGCGCACAATGTGAAATAATCTGGTCAGAAGGTATTTGGCTCCAGCTAGAGTGGATTAAAAAGATTAAAGATTTTGTTCCACAAGACAAATGAGTGTATACGGAAAAAATATGTGTGTTGGAGAGCGTGAATCCTAGTTTTGGTATCCAAGCATTTATTTCTTTTTAGAAGCCTGGTACACAGTTTTTGTTTTTTTTTTCATCTGAATCGATTATTCTTCCGCGACTTCTTATAGGAGGTTTCAGATTTTTTACCCCAGGAAAGGAAAAATCGAGCAAGCCTTTGACTTAAACTGTTTGCTTGAGCTGAGGATCTGCTGGCTATCTCATATGCATTGGTGTCGTGCAAGGAAGATTCCATTATTTTGAGCATCTGTGGGATTTGTAGTAGATGCTCTTGTTCGAATTTCTCTATCTCAGCCTCCCAGGTTGTCTTGATTGATAAGAGTTTATCCAGTTCTTGACGCCGAGAGTAAATGTCGTGCGCTATCTTATTGAGGTTCTCCCGTGCATGATCTGTCAATCTTGCGTAAGGGGTTCTATCCAATCGCGAATCCCGAATTTCTAGCGGCTTCAGGTATATCGCAGACAATCTTTCGTCAAAGTCACGTAGTTGATTGGTTATGCCTTCTTTGTTGATTGGGTCTGTGTCAGAGAGAAAAAAAAGGCCACGTTGATTGAGAGGGAAGATAAAGATAAGGGTTAATAAGAAGAGGCCGGGCGGAGCTGCTTTTGTGGATTTAAATCTCACTACTTACCCATGAGGTGCCCAGATTGTGGTATTTTGATTTGACTTAAAAATTCATCCATCTTTGATTTGTATCCCACGACGGGAGATTTCGGCGAGAAAAGGGCTTCAATGTAGGCCTTGGTGAACAATTCCTTGTTTTCCAAACGATTGGCGAGCTTCTTGATGTTATCTGGCTGATAGACTTCTAGTGCTTTGTCAAAGTTGTACGAAGGGGGGTCTGCAAATAGGCCGGGTGTGACATAGATGGACTTGGCCTCTGCGTTAAGCTGTTTTATTTGGAATTGTGCAAGTCGTTCAGTGGTGCGCACGGCAATTTCTCCAGATTTGCCTTCCGACGCGTCTAGTTTGTCAGAAAGGTTATATTGAAGCTTCTTCATTATACGCCTGACAAAATCTTCCTGCTTTCCCAGAGCTTTTAGAAAATTTGCACGAGATAGCCCCCCAGATGGATTCAGTTCTTGTCGAATGGCGTCATCAATAATGCCTTGTTGGTATAGGTTTTCGACAAATGGGCGTTCAACAACCGCGTCGGGGTGAACGGCTTGGTCTCTGAAATCTTTCAATCGTGTCAAGTCTTTGTTTTCTTTGATGAACCGGCGCTCAATTTCATCTAGCCGTTTCGCGAACCGTCCACGATCAGATGAAGCCTCCCAGAGTTCATGCTCGTCCTTCGCGGGCAAGGAGTCAATGAAATCGGCATGATTACCAAGGGCAGTGCGGATGTGTATTTCGTCTTCGGGAAGACCCTTGAGCTGTGCAAATACGATTGGTGGAGTTGCCAACGTGCCATAAAACTTCTGGAAGAAGTCTTCACGCCACTCGACGTCTTCTTTGCTGAGACTTTTGAAGATTGACTCCAACGAAGGTTTCAACTCTAACGGTTTGGTGAACGCGACAAGGACTGGCTTTTCGAGCTCGTTCAGAAGAAGTTTGTGCGTGGCGGTGATGACGTGTTGTAGGATGTTTTGGAATCCTTTCACTGTTGAGTAGTTATATAGAACATTCATCAACCCACCATCAGAAGGCGTATTTCGCAAAGCCTTCCCCACCGCGAAAATTGAATCGCCACTTTCTTCAAGGGCAACTGGTGTGTTGAGCTCAGGTATTAAAGAAGCGGCGCCTTCCAGTGATTGTAGCTGAGCGGTTCGAGCTTTTGAGAATTCCTCCAAGTCGAGACGCGGCCGGTTAACGTGCGGCTTGGAAAGCTCTTCTGAGAAGATAGTTGGGAAATAGGATTGCAGATCTCGATTCAGTAAATTTTGATTCAGCTGGCGCTGCCATCGTTCTAGCTGAGGTGTGATGCTCTCAATGACATTCCGGCGAAGCTGAGTGCGCATGAAGGTGTACAAGACGGGATTTCTTTCTCCTATTTCCTCAGCCGCCGAAGCCATGACATACTCTTCAGCTGAAGTTAACCCCTTGGAAAGCTTGATAGATTCCCACTTGCTCTGTAGAGCTTCAAGCTGCCCGGTAATAAGATAGTGAAGTCTTAGTTTTGCTAAGTAATCTTCATACTCTGATGGCTTGGATACCGCCTGTTCTGTGGGCTTGTAGCGATTCACGGGTGGAGACAATTCTTTGTCGAACCGTTTAGCCAAGTTGGTCACATCCAATAACTCCTTGTCATTCAACTTCAAATTTCTTGTTGCAAGGGCTCTAGAAATCTGATCTTTCATTTCGCCTGACAAAAGTAAAAGTGATCAATTTGAAGAAAAATTCTGAGTGAGTCATACTACGGGAGGCTAGGGGACTTACGATATTTTTTCAAGTCTTTTGGGGTTGCAGGGCGAAGGAATTTCATTCTCTTCAGTAATTAGAAATGTCATCAGCACGGGTCAAAACTGTTTCGAGGTGCATGGGATCGCTTACAATTTTGTAGATTTGGTAATTAACCCATGTAAACCTAATCCGTTTGGGGAGGACACTGTCTTAGCTAAAAAATAAATCACGCGGAGACATCATCAAACAGTAGCTTACGCTTCGAAGAAGTTTTCTTTTATCTTCGCGGGGTATTTTGCCAGCTTCAATTTTATTTTGGAGAACTTTTAGAGTCGAATAATGTGAGTTTTTTACTCGGTAGTTTTGTAGTAGCTTGGGGCACATGGTTGAAGTAAACTTACGCCTTTCAGATTTGGTTTTGGTGCTTCTTCACCAGACATAGCGGCTTGTGGGGGAGGTTTGAATGAAGCGGAACGCATTGGCCTGGGTGGTGCATGCCGCGGAGGCAGATGACCCTCGTACGAGATTATGTTCAATGACTTCGGGGCCGCATGAGTGACGGGCGAAGTGTTCAATCCAGACGTTGTTTCTCGAGCTTTTGATAATGACCCTGCTTCTATCGCTTTAGCCTCCGAGCCGAATTCACTTACACGGGCGGTGTTGCTACTAATCAGGATGCTGCGAGGTTGAAGATTTGTCGCAGAGGCCGATTGGTTAGTCGTAAGAAAGTAAATCAGTCGAATAATTGTCAGCGCTGATTTGAGAACCCGCATTGTAGTATTTCTAATGAAAGGGGGAACGGAGATGTCCAACTTCCGGGGATCCAGGGCAGTGCCGGACCGGCGAACCTGAAGGCTATAAACGAGCTCATTTGCCACTTCCAAACCGCATGAGACATGTGTATTGGGAAGATGTGGCCATTCACAAGAATCCGGAAGGGGATGAAACATTGTCATAATCTGTATCAATGACAGACCCAAGTGAGACCATTACATATTTTACTTGGATCTACTCAATCAACGTGGTGCGCGCAGCCGAACCTGGCATAGGCCCCAGTCTCAGTAGGCTCCGAGATTGCCGCCGAAGGAGGCCGACATCGGGCTGTGCGCGTAAAGACTCTGGCAGACTGGCCACTCAAAAACATGTGAAAACATCATTGGCTACTCTTTAATATGTGACCCTTCTGTTTTTTGTTTGAGAGTGGCGCAAAGTTAACTTGAACAGTGTACAAAGAGGTCAAGAGTTGACTAATGACTTCTTCAAAAAAGTAAGGAATATATGCGATATCCATATATGTCGTGTACTATGTACGCTTAGGTACCTGAAACCCAACGAGTCAAACTTCAAACCGTTGATTGGGGGCACAAACAATTATGGCTGATGCAGGATTCGCGGATAGAGATAAACACCACATCAATTAACGATTGAGTAGTGGAACAAAACCAGAAAGTCTAGAAAGTGGTGTGCATCTTCGCCTAGCAAATTCGAGCTCTCCGAATGGTACTCAACTTGAGCGCTGTCATGGTTGGGTATGAGATGGTCATGATCCAATCCCGCGCCGGCTGATAAAGTGAAATTTACGGGATACATGTTTAGACAAAAACCGGCTTAACACTAGACACGATTTCCCAAATATCTGAGTATGTAGGTACATGTAAATGTGCTTTGATCGAGTCTTGAGGGACACTTCGCTATGCATGTGAGCTACTCTACATGGCTGCTACCCTCACTTCCGCGTGATCTTCGAGCCAGTTCATCCAATTCTAGAAAAACCAACATCATTCCATGAGTCAAAGAAAAAAAAAAGAAAACCCCCAGTTGGAAAGTACGTAGCATGAATTGATCAACCCCCTTCCCATCCCGTTCCCAGAACATAAAAAGGCAAGATGAGACAGGTAGAAAGGTGTTCTGCTCACTTTAAGAAACTCGCCGCCTTTGGACAACGTATCCGAATCTCCTATCACTGTCAAATGTCGCTTAGCACGTGTCATGGCAACTTGATGAGATTGGAAAAAAAAAAACAAAAAGCCGGTAAGGACAAGTTTTTATAAGGAAAATGTAATCCGAGATGGATGCCTGATGTGAAAAAAAGAAAGGACGGAAGTGAATGCAAGAAAGATTTTCTGACCATTCAATCGACGTCTCTCGCTCAGAAATCCGACAACACCTTCAGCGTTACTTCTGCATAGAGAAATGATGACCACTTCGTTCTCACGGCCTGATATTCCACGAAATCACAAACAAGAAGGTCAACCCAATTGGGCAATTTGAGTCCAAAAGATCGGGAAGGATACAAGTGAGCTCACCTTGACACGAGTCAATCGACCCAATGGCTAACGCTGGATACTGTGTCTTCAAGAGAGAGTTCAACAGGGAAACTTGTGCGGCATCTTTCATGCGAAAATGATTTAATCAGCTGTTCGGAAACTTTTCAAGAAGATCTAACTTCTTTTATGCGGAACTCACAAGGTGAAATGACCATGATCTGGGTTGGAAGTACACCGGATTCAATCTGACAATGTGTTGGATTTTCTTCAAAAATCAATGGACCGTCTAATCATCCTAAATAAGTGAAGACGAAGACGAGTTTTGTTTCATGGCTTACCAATGCATTGACACGTTGGACCACTAATTCAGCCTCGTTTTCATTCAACAAGCTTCCTTCTCCACCTTCATCCGCAGCTCTATCAAACATAAAACTTCCAGCAGCTAATCCAAAAAAGGGGGTCAAGAAGATTGTCAAAAATCTGATCCCCGGATGTGTTTCTTCTCCTGCCAATGTGTGAGATGCGTGCGTACTATCAATCAGCAAAACTGGATCGGCGATACCATCGGTTTCCTCGCGAGTCACATTAGGTAAATCCTTGAGCAAATGGGTGGCTACTGAATCTGCTGCTGTGAGCTTGGATTCGTAAAGTTCATCCGACGGAAATTTCATGATCATCTCATGCATTCTCTGAATCCCCAAAACATACACATATCCACGGAGAGAGGGATTTTGAACATCCATCATCAGCGTTTGGTGATTTTGATATCGAAAGATGAGGGGGGGTTCAAAGACGCACATATTGGACATTCAAGAGACAACTGATCTCAGGTTGGTATTTCAACAGACGATAAAACATCGTCGTTTCCAGAGTCCTTGGTCTTTTCATCAGCGGCCGTCGCGATGGTGTCTTGAGTGCTGCAATGAAATATTTCGAAAAATACAATCAACCTCTGCCAGGTGATACTCAAGCCCTACGTAATCAACAAATTCTTCCCATGTACAAATCTTTTTGACTTCCTGGCCGAGTTTTGCACAATCGCTTTGATCATCTTCCGAAGAACTGTCAGCCTCTGGTTCGGCTTTAATTGGTATCTTAACGTCTGATTCATCATTATTCTCTGTCTTAACTTCTGCTTTAGCATTATCCTCTGTCTTAACGTCTGCTTCACCATTATTCTGTGTCGTGACGTCTGGCTCAGCTTCGAGAAGTAGGAGTATTGAGACGCATATATAAGCCAATAATAACAAGGTTCCCAGTTGAGTGACATTGGTATGTGGGTCGAGCCAGTAAACATCGACTTACCTGGTTTGTTCTTCACTTTCTTCTTGGAACTTTTGGGATCCGTTGTTTTCTTATTTTGGGACTTAGGCTATGAAGAGATCCTCACATCCAACATGTTAATATTGATATAGCAAAGATGAATGAAGGAGGGGTTCGCTCACTGGATGATGGGGTTTCATGGATTTGACAGTGGGCGGTAGCTGCAACGGATCTCCTGCTAGAATCAGTTTGCTCTTGGCCTTCACTATAGGTATCCAGCATGCCTAATTTTGATAGTTGGACACAGTCAAAGATGAAACGAAACAGGGCGAAAAAGATGGACAGGGAAATGAGAGAGAATAGATCATCAATCGCGCTGTTACGACCTACCCCATTGAAAAACGTAAGCTTACCGCTTCAAACGCTTGTGTTGATTCCTAAATTATACGAGAGGAATCTTCAATCAGAATCTCCAAGTTATCATATATGAGAGCCAGACCCAGCTCTTACATCAATAATCACGACATCAAACTTTTCATTATCAAGTTGCCGAGATCCCGCCCTAGAAAATAATAAGAGTTTCAGGGATCAACACAGGTATAAAAAATAGACATGTTCAGGGAGAGGAAATAAAAAGAACTTCGAAGTACCCATGAGCAGTAGCACAGACAATTCGAGCAGATGTGATGATGTTACGGGTGTGGCCTCTCTCCCTCTGTCTATAATCTTTCCGCAACTCTTGCACGTCCTTATACACCAATCCGCGTGCTTTGCCACGCACCCTTTCCTTTCCTTGAGCGGACAACTTGGCCAGATTTTGGTTGATCTCCTTTTTCAGATCGCGGATGATCTCGGACTCGTCGGAGGTGTTGAGTTGGTACTCTAATGTGGAGGAAGATAAGGAGTCTAGTACTCTGGCCGGATGTCCCAATCGTGTGATCGGTAGTTTCAAATCTAGTAGTCGTTCGGCTATGTTATCTGTAGAACATAAGCGGAGCCAATTCCAATGCTCATCAAAACCGCGTCGATAGGTTACTGGTAGACCTTCTCTTACCAATCGCCAAGTTAGATGCTGCAGCAATTATGATTCGATCTCCTCTAGCATACAAGGCCGCGATGATACTGACCAACGTATGGGTTTTACCAGTGCCTACAAATCCCCAATTAGTCTAAGAGGCGTGATCAAGCAAGGCCACTGAAGGCCAGGAGGAAGGATAAGACACCTCACCTGGTGGCCCAAACACCAACGTGACGGGACAGGGCGATAGTGCATGCTTCACGGCATACTGCTGGGACGAGTTCAAGTCGCGGACAGCTGGAGGAAGATCGATTTGCTTGATCTCCTCCTCGCTCATCTAGATCGGGCGGTGAACGATGGATCAGTTACAGAGGCGAGTCTGGTGTTAAGAATTGGGCCAGAAGCCGAAGAGTTCCTCACGGTTTTGATGGGATCGATCCCCAGAAGGCTCCGCATTAAGTCCGTCAAGACGACTGGAGATTTCCGGTGGGAGGTTTTCATAGGTTGGCTCTTAGCTGTGGCTAGAAGTAATCCCAAGCAGAGTTGAGCAACATGGTCTCAGGCGCATAATCTTTAAAGCGTTATACAAATGGATTATGATTAGTTGACGCGGGACGCACTTTCAGTCAAAGATACAGAGCTATCTACCGGTAAATTGGCGTCTTCTTCAGAGCAATCTACCAAAGTGAATGTATGTCAAATGGAATTCAGTATTCGGGATCGGACGCAAATTGAACTAGTTATGATTCGGGCTTTCACTGCTGCTTACTTGATTTCGAATGGGGAACGGAGGGAGTTCCATAACTGTTCTCTTTAGCAAGCTCTATTTATGACCCATTGTGAACAGAAGGCTCAGCAGACTCCAGACGCACCTTTGTTGACCGGTGTAGAGTCCTTTGCGGGCAGCTTGACGTGCTTTTCAGAGGAAGGTCCACCAGGATCTAAATTTTTACAAGCCTCCCAGATTTGTTCCATTGTCTGCTCGAGTCTATTGATTGCGGACAGACCTGATCATTAATAATCTGCTCCGAGATTGTGAAAAGTTCTGGTGATTATCAAGTGAAGAATCAGGTACCTATCGAAAGTGGCTGTATCGGCAAGCTTGATTCTGTAAGGTACGACGACGAAGAGGAGAGGCACCAAAACCAATCAGTAATCGAGTCCTCGCAGTCCTCCGGAATCAGTTCTCTCATTCACACCTACAAACGACACCTGGCAGGCAATTCGAGTTGATCGGCATCATCTTTGAGAGAGCTGACAGTCATTGCGATGCTTGTTTCCGTCACTCTAGAGACCACGCCCTCGATGACCTTGAGCTTGTCACCAGACGAGGAGGCGGAGCTCTTCTTGGACGATTTAGTTGAGCCGACTTCATTGTCGATGATTCCGACCGGCACGCCCGATCGGAGGGTATGGTAGGGTAACTTGGGCTCCGTATGGTACTGGGCTGGCCGTTCCAGTTCTACGATCCTGTAGGCGATCAGAATGCGGAAGGAGAGAAACAATCAGTCACCAGCCAGCTCGTACAAGGATTAATATCATGAAGAAACGGTCAGGAACATGACAAGACTTCACGTTTTTCCACCCAGTCCGATGTTGGTGCTGCGAACCCCAAGGGCACCGATCGATATGCCCATCCGCTCCAACAGCTTGGTCTGGCCACGCTTGACCTTCTCGGAGGTCAGAAGGTCGAATTCTTCCTTCTCCGAGGCTCGTTCCAGCTTCAGCAATTTCAGGTGACCTTCAAACCAAGCTCGTAGATCCTTTGGGTTGGTCATCGTCGCTCGACCAAAGATTTTGACTGGGGTCGTGAAGTCGTTGGTGTCTCGTTGGATTTCAATTTGTGGTTGTTGGTCCAGTCAACGATTACATTGAGGACACACATGTGTGCCCGGCCGGCGTCCCCGTTCAACGCGGCTCGGGACCATCCGGAGGATGCCCGTAATCTGGGATTCACTTGTCTCACTAGCTGGAAGTCAAGGCTGGAGGATGGCCGGAGCATACCTTGGTGCCAACCTCAAGACCAATGAGAAGCTTAAGCTTCACATGGACAACAATCCGGGGAAAGGCCTACGGTGGATGCATTATGTCTGGGAAAGAAATAAAATACAAATCAACAACAACTCCGGGGTGGTGCTATGATAATCCTGGAAAAAACGCCGGGGACTGTCAGATCGGATGGGATGGCTATAAATTACTAGGATAAACAAAGCACAAGGTGGTTGGTCATAAGAACTACAAAAGATTTTTGAACTTTGCTGAGATTCGATAAGCAATAGGACGAGAAGAATCAAGAAGAATGGGCGGCATCGAGACGCTCTTTGAAGCTACCCCGCAACAGATTGATGAGCCGGTCAGCAGAAGGAAGGTTGGAGGGCAGTTGATCGGCCGTCTTGAGACCCCATCCGCCGCCGCCGGGAGTGAAGATACGAATCCGATCGTGTTTGCCCATCATCACCGTTCTCTTGCCTCCAAGAGAGATGATCCTATCCCCTCCCACTCCATCCGTTCCGCTTCCATCATCCTCCAGATCTCCATCCTCTACTCGTCTCTTTTTGACCCATACGTTCAGCCCTGGCTGGCCTGCTTCTCCCCCCTCTAATCCATATGGCCTTTGCACCCTTCTCTCAGATAGAATCGAGCACTGGATCGGTCTAAACGCGCGTGTTCATAGTTCAGATCTCACATGTTTTTTTGAATAAACAAGGGAGACACTCACTCGACAAATTCAATCTCTCGAACAACTCCTTCTCCACCACTGTATTCACCTCTTCCACCCGATCCCTCGCGCAATGAGAACTGGTGCAAGATCACTGGATATCTTCTTTCCAGAATTTCAGGATCCTAGAGATTGTTTACAAAATAACAGCCCCAAGAAGAGGATATCTGCTTAGTGCCGGCCCAAGCGACATTTCTTCTATGGGAATGGAGCGGAAGTGGTGATCTTACGGTGATTCGGGTGTTGGTCATATGGGTATGAACTCCATTTGTTCCATTCCATGTAGGACCTGCCCCACTCCCGCCTGCAATCGTCTCATACTAAATTGGATTGTCCGAAGTGGTTTTAGTACAAGCGTGAAAATGCTAGAGAAAGTGAGAAAAAGCAGCACGCACATAGCCCCAGCCAGCTACATGATTGCCATCCTTGTCTTTACCACCCTGGCCGAAGGTCAGGTTGTTGCAAGTGCTTTGGCTGGCAGCACTGGCCTTGAATGCCTTCAAGATCACCCCAGTGATCACTTGACTCGACTCCACATTCCCACCCACAACTGCTGCGGTCTCGGATGGGTCCAGGAAACAGTTGGGCGGGATCCGTACTTCGATGGGCACTAGACATCCTTGGTTCAGCGGGATCTAATCAACCAGGAATAGTCAGCGGTTGATGGAATAATTTTGACCCATAAAAGAAAAGAAAAATGATTCAATGAGAACTGACTTCTAAATCAACCATTGCTCTTAAACAATATATAATAGTCGAATATGTCACGCTCTTGGGGGTGTTCAAGTTACCTGCTCGCATGGAGAAGAGGCAAAATACATGAATCACGGCTCCGTGTCAGAAATGGACTGAAGAATTACGATCCCACCTATCATCTCATGCCCAGTCCCATCGAAGTCAAAGATCGCGGAGCCGTCCTGGTCATCGATGGTAACGGTCAGCTCGATCGGCGTCCCGTCGTCTAGATACTCGATCGCATGCAATTGCTTCGATCCTCTCTCTTGGACGACTTGCTTCAACAAATTCCGGATCGCCAATTCGGCATTGTCTCGAATCTGATTAGTTGAAGTGGCAACCCAAATGGTGAGATAATTTTTATCAACTTTAATTCGGGACTTTTTTCGGTTGTTGATTTGATTGCTTGTTTGTAATTAGATGATCATTCGAGGTATTGCGGTGAAAGCACACACATGAGTCATGTAAGCTTGGACGGTTTCCAAACCGTATTCATCTATCAATAGGTAAATTAGACCAACACCTGCCCCAGGAGCAAATAGCGAGAGACCGGTCAACTCCCTCTGAAAGGATTTTGGACTGAATATGAGATGTTATGCACTGAGAATAAATATCATCATCAGTATACTGAAAAGGAGGGGTTACCTTTATTGTTGGCGGCAATTTGGGCTTTGAGGTCACTCTCGACATCACCAAAACAGCGGGTGCCAGAACAGCCAGGATACTTGGCAGGATCCTCAATCAGATACTTCTTCAATTCTGACTGTTTGAATTGCCCCTTAGATACAATCTTGAACGACTTGATCTGGGCGCCTTCTTGAAAGATGTTGGTCGATGTGGGCGGCATACTTGATTGATTTGGAAAACATTTAGCCAAAAAAAAAGGTAAGCTCTTTGGGGTGCTCGAGCTGTTCAAGGGTCCATTGGACCTTGCAAGCAGCAACTCTTCGATGTAGGGACAATGGTATCGGCATCGTCATGCACTTACGACCCTGGTAAGATCCCTCCTATATCGGCGTGATGGGCACGACTTGCTTTGATAAATAAACGTATCGCAGTATCACCATTTGATTAAATGCAAAAAGGATGGGCAACCAAAACAAACTGCCCGCAGATTTCTTGGGGTTGTGTAGCTCAATTGATGGTAAATTACATACCGGTAAAAAACACCAAGTTTTGTTCATTGAATACAGGTGTGATCAATGTAATATCCGGCAGATGGCTAGAAAGAATGGAAAAAAGAAGAAAACAGGACAAGAAAAGATTAGGTTCAGATTTTTTTTTCTTTCCAATTACTTGAGGTAGTTTTCGCCAAGAAAAAGATGCAGGATAGTTGAAATAATTAACCTTCCTCCAGCTTGTGGATGATTTGCCATGATCACATCTCCCGGAAAGATTTGTCCTTGGAGGTGTTGGATTTGATACCGGACCGCACTATTCAAAGAAATCCGAAATCCAAAAGATAAGCTAAGAGAATTTGTCATGAAACCTTGAGAATAGACTGTTTTCTGACAAGGACATAGAGCCGAGATGGACGGGCAGATGGGGCGCCTGGACCCAAAACGAGGGGCAAATGGTGCATACATCAGCCGGAGTACATAGCGCGAAAGATGAAAATGCAAATGAGCAAATTGCTCACATTGGCTACTAAGTCTCCATTGGGTGCGAAAATCGCGCACGAATAATCCAGGCGTTCTCTTCCATTTTTCGGGTTTTTTTTTTTTGTTTCGTGTTTGAGGGTATTTTTCAAACGGATAAGGGTGATGTCGAGGTTTTAAATGTCGAGTTGTTTTATGGGGGCACATCCAAGCATTCAAGAAGCACACATTAATCAGAAATCTAATTGTTATGTAAGAAATTTCCTGTGAAGATACATAGATACCTGAAGACTCACTTGATATTGGTGCTTATAGAAGTTTGTTGCAAACTTCTTCCCATAGCCTAAGTACCGTAGACATACAAAACATAAGATTATATTCAATGTGTGACCACGAGAATTCGATACATTTGACGTGTTTTTTTCTGATTGACCTCTGCAACAGACATAAACCCTTTTTTTGGTTGCAAGTGAGAAAAAGTCACCGATCATCAATAAATGAGCGAACAGCTTGAGAAAGGACTTAAGGTAAGGAGAAAGAGAAAAGTGTGCTGAACTGTTGGCAAATAACGACAGTAGGATCGGATCTGGCTTGTCATTTCGCTGGTTCTCCGAGCCCATCCTGTCAACGAAATCCCTTTGCCTTGGCTATGGAACGTGATTGTCCTGTCCTGTTAAGGTGTGTCCGACGATGTTCTTCTTCCTGGAGAAATGGCAAGGAGTGGGAAGGGGCCGAGGAGGGAAAACGGGCCTAAGGATAGGATCAAACAGAGCCAAGCTAGGTTTATATACGCTAAAACAGCGAAAATTCCAGATCTCCCATAGCTTAGTTGGTAGAGCGCAATGCTTATATGACGACATTCACCCCCCGTGGGTGAAGTCGGTATACTGTGGTAGCACACCCCTCTCTGAGGTTACGTTGATGTCAGGGGTTCGAGCCCCCTTGGGAGAATTTTTACCCCCCCGGGGGTCGAATCCTGATCGCCCTGGGTATAAATCAATCTCCATCACAGCACATGCTGATCTCACTGGTCAGGCGTCACCATGGGTGTTTTCAAAGCTTTTTGTGTAGTTTATCAGACCCTTTATTAGCATGCAATTCATGCTTTTATGGCCTGCTTCAGCCAATCTGGGCTATGAATCATGGATCAAATGGTCAGGCTGATGCTTTATCATGAACTTGTTGATGGCAGGAATTCCAATTTCCAGATTATGACCCCAAATATGAAGCCAACTATAAGTCTCAAAAGCCCATAATTAGTGGCTAAGCATCTCCAAAAGATCAGTATGATAATCATACTGATCTTTTGGAGACCAAGCCCCCAATGAAATTCTCTCAATCATACTATGATTGAGAGAATTTCATTGGGGGCTTGGTTAATCAACTCTCAAATTTGAGAGGATTGACTCATAAATTAGGAAGTTATCAGGAGGACCACCTGGAGACAGCCCCAGTACATCTACTGCCCCAAAAACCTGGCTCCCCCTAATCCTTGGGAGTCAATTCCCCCCCCAAAAAAATTAAAATCTTCCAGGAAATGCCCTTCAAATCTTGATGGCCCTCCCAGCTTTCAAGCTTTGGACACACTCAGTGGCCGGAGGGATCCTCCTGGCTGTTGAAGGTTGCCCCCCTGCCAGCTTGTACACCTCAATGGACAAGATTTATCCCTCTTGGCTGCTGTGATCTTGTTGAAATTTTAAAGCTAAAGCACATAAGAGGTTGAGGGCCAAAAAAGGAAAGGACTCTTTTTTTTGGGAAAGGCTCACGGAAAGGAGTGTAAAGAACCGATGATTTTTATTCACAAGTATCTAGCTAGGTTTAAATAGACTAACTACAAGTGTGTCAAACTGTGGTTGATGCTAATTGAATAAAAAAGAATGTTGAATAAAAACTAAGAGATAGAATAAATTGAAGTTTTGGAAGAAACAGTCTTAGCCGGACTTCTCAGTCTCTTTTAGTCAGACAAGAAAAGTTAATCAAGAAAAATCAGAATTTCTACCACAAATATTTAGAGTCGTCAATTCTAAATAATTAGCTTTTAAGAATCAAGTAATGAAAATAGAAAAAGAAAGAAGCCAATCATTAAGATAAGAGTTGTTGATAAATTGCTATTTTGAGTTCTAATTAGACTACTAGGATGCATAAGATTCAACAAAAAACCAGCTATGACTAACTATAATTCAGTCTATTTCAAGATGATTCAAGAAATAAAAGAGAGTAGCAATAAAGGGAAAAAAGGATGTTTTTTGGGAAGGAGTAGACCAAGGAGTGAAAAACTCAACAGATCTGTACACTCTCAGCAACCAAGAGAATCCTCCTGGCTGCTGAGAGTGTACAGATCTCATCAGCCAAAAGGATCCACTTGGTTGCTGAGATTTGTACACTCTCAGCAGCCAAGAGGGATAACTCCTGGCTGTTGAGAGTGCAACTCTTAACAGCCAAGAGGGATAGAGAGTGTACCTCTCAATGGCCAAGAGGGATAATTCCTGGTCATTGAGAGTATAAAATGTCAGTGGCCAAGAGGGATACCTACCAGCTGTTGAGAGTGTACCCCTCAACAGCCAAGGGGGATGGGTAGTGTACCTCTCAACAGCCAAGAGGGATAACTCCTGGCAGTTGAGAGTGTACACTCTCAGTGGCAAAGAGGGATAAACCCTGGCCGTTGAAAGTATACACTCTCAGCAGCCAAGAGGGATAACTCCTGGCTGTTGAGAGTGTACTTCTCAACGGCCAAGAGGGTTACTCCAGGACATTGAGAGGAAGGAGGTTTCCTCTCTTCCGTCAAAGGTTTACACTCTCTATGGCCAAGAGGCTTCTTTCCTATCCATCATCAAGAGTGACACTCTCAACAGCCAAGAGGAACCCTCCCAGATGTTGAGAGTGTAAAGAGGAATTCTCTCACCATTGGGGGCTATGTTTAATTTTACTACCCCCAAAGCCCCAGTTGGTTTTGGGGGATCAACTCCCAAACCAACTGGGGGTTTTAATTTTAATTTTTATTTATGATTTTGGGTTATTGACTCCCAAACCCACTGAAGGGTTTGGAGGATCAAATTCCAAACCCCTGGTGAATAAAAAATAGGGGGAGGGGACATACTGAGATGGTCTGCAAGTGCAGATGGTCCCCAGAATGTTCCTGGGGTTTGGGAGTTGATCCTCCAATGTTTGGAGTTGATTAACCAAGCCCCTTTCATTAAGCTCAAGACATTGAAAATAAATCTTGTTTCAAATAAGTAAATGGCTTCTTTGAATCATCTGATAAAACATTCACTTATCATCTTTTTTCTTAGCTGTAGAAACTGAAAGCTGGAATTGTGAGTTGGAAGATTCCTCAACAAACCAAATCAATCTTCCAAAAATAAGTTAACTAGGAGGCTGGATCAAATATTTGGAAGGATCTTTTTATAATTTTGATTATGTTACCTTGGTGGAAATTTGGATAAAAATTTACTCTCCTTCTGAGAGGTAAGAACATATATACAGTCAGAGCTTGAATTAACTGGGTTGCTGCAGTTCAAGGACCAAGTTGGAATGCCACATGTAGCCACCCTCTTGAAAACCTTCAGCAACTCTGTAGGAACTCAAAATCTGCATACAACAGTCAAATCACATTAAGCTAACACACACCATTTCTTGTGTCTTTATGCAATAATGCAGTCACAACTCTAACAAACTCATCCCCCCTCCAAAATCCTCCATCTCTGCAACTCTCCACACCCTCATCCAGCCAATTGAAATCATGTACAGCACTCCCCTTCTTGCAATAGCACAGCCTGCTGGGTACTGATAGCTATAGCACAATCTTTGAGACCACACATCATGTACAGTGGGTAGAAATCAGGATGCAAGTGGGTCGGGTCAACCTGGCAGGGCCCCGCGACCCGGCGGGTCTCAGGGAGGGTTTCGACAGACTGTGGGTTAAAACTGACCCGGCCCGAAATCACCTGAGCAGTTACCGGGGCGGGTATGGACAGATTAAATCTTTGATGGGCCGGCCCAATTTTGGCCCACCGACCCGACAAAATAGGGGATGCCCTGGCACCGTCCGATGATCGGACTACAGAGATATATATATTTTCATTATATCCTAATCAGATCCCCCAACAGCTGGTCAGACTTCACCCACCAGCACTCCAAAGTCCTATCCTCAAGATGCCCAGAGGAAAACAGTCCCGGAACTCCCAGATCACATCGTCATCCACCAAGGGGACCAATACAACCGGTCCTCCTAATGATCAACCCACTATGAGTTCAAGTGGTGATTCCGATTCCAATTCTGACTCCAAATCAAACATAGAGACTCATAAGGGATTATCTCAAGATCCCCCTCCTACCGCCCCAACCCCCACTCCATCAAATAAATCCACCAAGAATACCAGAAACCTAGCTTCAAACCAAGATTCCGAAGCAAGTACTGAACCCGCCAGCAAGAAAAGAAAAACAACAAGTGATTTGTCAGGCTCGGTGATGCCAAGACAATAGGTCTTCTAGCTACACCGGCTGATGAGGCTGGTTTGGTAGGGGATGAAGAGGAGATAGATGAAAGGGAACAAGGGGCCCAGGTCGATGGGGGTGTTTACGGTGCCCTCGGATTGGCAAGCTTTAGTCTAGCGCTGATATCTAGCGTGACGGTGGAAAGCTTGGGAGACAGGTCCTGATGGTAGCTAGGGGTGGTAGTCTGTGCTCGGGTGGATGTAGTGGATAGAGGTAGCTAGCTCGGAGGAATACTACTTACTGTGGGTACGCAGTCAACCTTAAAGATATCCTCAGGAGCTATAGTTCTTCGGTACTCGAGTTCGGTTCCAGACAATGATTGAAGCCGGCTAGGCGACGGTAGTAACACGGGTCGACAGGGAGGGACCGGTAGTGTCTAGAGGTAGTATGAACGGGCAGCGAGTAGGATGTTAGTTTGTTTCGGAAAAAAGGGGTAAAGGATGGGTAATGAAAATGATATGGTGTAGGATTTCTGGTTTCAGGAGATGATTCTTCGATGCCTCCTTACCTAGGATCCTGGTTGTCCTTTTATAGCCGTAGTAGTCGTTGTGAGCCGGCGTATGGGAGTTTGCGGTTTGAATTTGGGAGGAAGACTTTCTCTTCCTCCATCCGTCATGAAGTCATGACTGACGGGGTTCAACGGTTGCCCCCGTCTACTTCAAGTGTGATGCACGAGGATCCGCGCTATAAGTGGTGCGGTGTACTGCACCCGGATCTGCTCTAGAAATGTTACGGAGACCAGCGCTCTAGTTTAAGGGTTACTTCCAGGGGGTCTCCGCAGCAGATACCGCAATAGGTTGCTCATCAGACCTCACTGTGTATTTTCATAGTTATTTTAAATTTGCATCAATTTAAAATTAAAATATACAAAAAAACCATAAAGTATAACAAAATTAGTCAGTTTGTCCTAATCTTTTAGTGACAAGCTGACATGTATGGGCTCATTTCAAGGAGCAAGG